TTTTATTTTTTAAATTTTTAAGCTTTTTTAATTAAACCTCTGCATTTATTTATAGTCTTATTTTAAAATACCACGACTCCGTTACGATTATTTTGATCCCAATCCTTACCAGGCAACAACAGTTCCAATATTAATTGCTGACGCATTCAACACGTTTTCAATAATGACAATCAGATAAGCTTCACTTTCTTTTCGTTTCTCATTAGCAGCAATATTGGTACACATTTGTAATTCATTATCCGATATATGAAAGGTAGTGTTTGTTTTATCATATTTTTCCTTAATACCTTTAACTTCGATGAAACATTTTATAATACGATCTTGAACACCCTGTACAAACATCTGGCGAGTGTCTTCAATAATGAAATCGTAACCAGCTGAATCATCAATATTTTGACGTAAATTGGGAAACAGTAATAAACGTGCTGATGATTTCCAATTATTTGTTGGTGTTATATCAGCACCATATATCTCTTTTAAACAATGATAAAAAAAGTGTTCAACACATTGTCCGATTTGTTCTTTTACTGCTGAATTAACAATTGTTGACATCATCGATGGTTCTTCGTTTGTTCTATCCAATAGCCCACTAGACAATGTTTTTAAACGGTGTTCTGGCTGTTGATGTTTCTCTTCTAGCCGTGTGAATAATTCTCGTGCACGTGCTTCATACAATTGAGCATCAACAACATAATCGATGTTTGAATGATCATTGTCGACAATTGCAATTGTCGAACTTTGCTTTGTGAACTTAGCTTGCGTTCCATCAGTTAGAATTTGAGTATCTTTTTCTGTAATAAAATATTTTCTAAGTGAAATAGGGTTCTGAATGAATAACTCATGATCAATAGGAAATACAATATCCGCGAGTGAAAAAAAATCCGTTTTTGCACCTGCTTTTGATGATATATCCCTGGAATCAAATGCAGTACATGTTTGTATTTTCTCTCGTGCTATTCTTTTTGCTTCACCTAATGATATATATTTTCGTTTGTGAAGTAGAGCTATTAGTGCTGAAACAGCGATCATTGCTTTTGCTTGATTATCTTTGATATGTCCAATACATAGAACCACAGTTTCATCAAATATCCAAAATGGATTATCAGATTCAAGAATATATTTATCGGTGTCAGAAACATTACTAACATTCTCAACAGTCAATAGTGTATTATCTGATAAATAAAGACAAGTGGACGTATAATTCACCCCGATCACTTGTAATCGGTTGTCATTCAGTGCTTGCTGAAATATTGTTGATAATTGTTTCAATGTAAATTCGAGATTATTTACTCTATGGTCCCATGCAACTAAGCCACGTCTTTCAATATAATCAATGTTTAATGATGCAAGTAGTACTGGACATTTTTTCACGATGACCGGAGCTATGAAACGACGAATTCTGTTATCTTTTACAAAATATTGAATCAGCTTCAGTTCTGCACATGCATAAACGATATTTTTTGAAGTAGAAACTAGCTGTTGATCACTGGTTAACATTGGAATGAAGCATGTTTCATCAAACTGAGTGGTACTAAATTTACAACCTTTTACTTTGTATATCTCATTTTCAGTGGGTAGCAATGCTCGAAGTTTGGAATGTGATGGTATTAAACTAAATCTCCAATTCCAGTCTTCTCTACTACCATATGGCGGTTTCGTATTCGTATCTCGTCGGTTAACTAGATCAAATAGTTCTGGATGGTATCTTTCCATATCTGACAATAATAATATTTCCAAATATTGTAATAAAATACAGATATTTTCCTTTCCTATATCGGTCAAAATCATTTTACAATCGCTAATCTGATAAAAACGACTTGTATCATCATTAATCAATTGCAAAACAGCAATCAGTTGTACTATGGTTGGTTGACAACTACAACCAAGATCCATGAATAATGTTTTGAGCGGCCAATATCTATTGTTACGAACGGGTGAAATAGATTCATAATTTAAATATTTTGTAATTAGTTGTATTTCTTCACTATATTTGACATCCATAATGAATAATTGATTTAATGAATAAAATTTATCCGAATCAGGCATATATAATTTACACGCGGATAACATATCTTCGATGTAAAATTGTTTTTGTTGTTGTCGAATGTACAATTGTAAACGAACTATCCATTCAATATACAAGTCAACATCTTTATTTTGACTATTACTTAATATCTGTAAAACGTTTAAACACGATCTCAAATTAATTTCAGTACAAACGCCCAATAAAGCCGCTAAGTCTCGTGTATGTGTAGGAATTTCAAGATTTGGTAGTAGCTGCATATCATTAATCAATGTTTGATCGTACGTTGTTGAAATTGGACATATTACATTATTTGAACATAATATTGGAAAGTGTTGTATTGTCATCAGCATGTCTTCTGATTGATAACGTAAAATATTTTCAGCTAATTTAGCTGATAAAGTTGAATAAGTAGTGAACGATGGTAAAATTAGAGGACTGTCAAATTCATGTTTCTTAGATATGACTAATACTGATGGCTTACAGCCAATCGCTAAGAAAAATAATTCCCATTCTAATACATCTTCGTTATCACTTGATGGATACGGATAATCAATCACTGTTTGGTTTTGTGATCGAATATATTTTCGTACGTCACGAGCTAATACAGTTGGTATTGTTAAGTTCTGAGCTGAATACAAAGTGTGAGATTGTGTAGGAATCAGAACAGGTATAAACGATTCATTTTTTAATTGATATTTTAAATTTTCAATATTTTTCCTTAAATAAACCAAATCCATCCAAATCGACGATCTAATATTTGCAAGGTTTTTTGCTTTCTTATTGGCTATTTGCAAATGATCGTGAATTATTATTTCAATCATTCGTTCAATCGTTAATAATTGAACTAGATTTAAATCTAATAGAACTTGACGTTCAAATTTTGATTCATATTCTATGGCTAATAATTCCGGTTTCCACATATTTCGGAGATCGTCATCATCAGTAATGAACAATAATGTATTTGTTGGAAAATACTGACGACAGTTCAGAGTCAAAAATAATGGCTTTTTGCACATTAATTCAATGAGACGTCCAGTAATCGTTTTATCTGATTCGGTTGCGATCTGTATTTGTTGAAATAGTAACAACCACCATGTTTTATTTTGCTGCCGCGACCACTTTGTGAAGTCACTTCGAAACACATTTGACTCATCTTTATTATCAGGAAAACAACTTATTACATCCATCACTGATACGGTTTGTAGACCGTACTGTTTTAAGCGTTCTGCAGAGAAAACTGGCGATACTGAATTGTCAACAACTTGAATGTTAGCACAATTAAACAGTTGATCATTACTAACCAACAATGATAAATCTGAATTGATCATACGAATAGTTTTGCCTAGAATACAAGGAATGCCTATCGATTAATTAATCTAGTCAATTTTAGCTTCAGACATACTGGAGAGCTGAAACTCGTATAATCCTTATGATGTACAAATTTCATACTACAGTCTACAGGTCTTAGCCTACAATACCCTATCCTGCAGGGTAGGTAGGGCCATATTCAGAAAAAAGTCTAATACAAAAGTTGCAGAGGCTAAAAGAAGTAAAAAACTTCAAATTTTTAAATTTCAGTTTCCAATTTAAAAATTCCATCTTCATTCTCTTTAAAGTTGATGTTCATAATCAGCGCAAAAAGCTTTATGTATCAATGAACTTTTAAGGCTGATCTAAGCGAAAAAATAGCGCTCAACCCGGCGCAGATGAGAATGATGATTAACGAGGCAAGCCAATCTAGACAAAAACAAAAGAATATATTCGATGCGTTCTTATGCGTTAAACACCCGTCTGATGAACAATATCTCTCTTAGAAACAAGTATATGATTAGAACGAGTATCTGTCGTGGTGTATCTTTCGTTGAAAAATTGGCATGTGATTGCGTCACGCATGTTTTCCCCCTAAAAATTAACTGAAATACAAAACAGAATACGTAGTTCGACAGATCTCGAAGCCCTCAGTCCAAATATCTACTTGATTCTTTCTCAAAAGCATCAGCTAGACCGCAAAGAGAGTAGTTTACTATTTTCATGACGGAAGTACATCAGAAATGCGATAGGTTTAGAGGCAATTTCTTGTGAATGGGGGCAATAAAACTTAAAACCAAGGTGATCACTGAAAAGAGCAGATCATTCTCTGTCAGGATATATGAATTTCTTTTAGTTAAGTTCTAGAACAGAGCAAGCAACTAAACAACACTGTCCATTAGATGCGTATCTTTTTCTGTTAGT